GGCGGGGTCGATCGTTCAGTCCGCAGAGTTACGAACTGCCTCTGTAACTTGGGTTTCCATAGTTACGGATTTTTATGAAAACTTGAGATAATAAAAAGAGAAAAAAAACGACTTCCTATAGCTAGTCGGAATGCAAACTGTTGACGTCCCGATGGCTCCAGGGCCCTCTTCCAGCTCCGTTTCTTGTTTTTCTCTCCTCCTCCTCCTCCTCCTCTCCTTCCTCCTTCCTCTTCTCTTCCCCGGTGGGGAGGGATCACTCAGGAAAACAGGAAGGAGGTGCCCGCCCCGCCCGGCCGGGGGCGTCGGGACCAGGCGGGGGGCAGGCCCTGGCCCAGCTCTGGGCTGGTGCTTGCAGGGGCAGCTGGACGGCAGGCCTGCCGGCGGGGTGGGCCCATCCCGGGCTGCCGGGGGTGGGAGCCCGGCCCTGCGTGGCTGAGACTCTGGACAGGGGCTGGGTCCTCCCGGGGGACAGCGCGGTCAGAGGGAGCCGGGGGCAGACGGGGGATGGAGACCCAGCCTCTGGTCCCAGCTCTGCTGCTATGGCCTCAAGCAGGCCACTGGCCTCGCTGGGCCTCAGTCTCCACATCTGTACAAATGGGAACATTGCCCCCGCCCTGCCTACCTCACAGGGCTGTTGTGAGGAACTGATGAGATGATGTATGTGAAACACTTTGTAACCTGTAAAGCGCTGTGCACACGTGTGGGTGACTGTTCTCATTATGGTCATTATTCTCTCACTGTGGGGGATGGGGCTGCCGGAGGGACCTCCTGGGGACGGGGCTGGGGGTGGCTAGAGAGCCGGGACTCTGAGCCCGCAGGGGCGTCCTGAGGCCTGTCCTGAGGCCTGTGAGCATGGGAGAGTCTACCCCCTCTGGTCTGGGAGCTTCCTGGGAGCTGGGGCCCTATGCAGGGATGGGGAGCCTCAGCTCTCTCCAAGCCTTCCTTCCGTCAGCATTTTTAAAGCACCTGCTGTATGCTGTCTCTCATGTAGGATGACCAGTCTGTGGGGGCTGCAGTTCCAGGGCTGCCCTTAAGCCTGCCCGGGCCCAGGTCCCCACCCCACCTCGGCCCATCTTCCACCAGGCCACCCTCAGAGCCCATCCTGGGCTTTTAGGGGTTCTGGGTTTGGGGCTGGAGGCTCAGACAGCAGCCCCACTTCCCGCCCCCAACTCTGCCCATCCCAACCAAACCTTGATGTTCCAGACCACCCTGGAGAGGGACACCCGATGACAGGACAGGGAGAGCCAGGCAGTCACCTCGGAGCCTTCCCAGAGCCCATGGGCCTTAGCTCAGAGCGGCCCCTGCTTGGCTGGCGGGCACATTTCGCCTACCCCTACTGTTGGGAGGGCAGGGTGTGGGGTCAGGGAGGCCTGGCTTCTCCCCTCCCACTTCCTCTTGCTCCCTGGGACTCCTTGGATGCCGCCCCATGGTGAGCCTGGGGTGACCTTGCTGCCCATTCATCCTCCGGCCATGCAGGAACCGACCAGCCCAGCCACGGCTGAATGCAGAGGGGGAGCAGCAGGGAAGTCAGCCCCTGGCAACAAGAAGCCTCCAGCATGCACCCCTCCCATCAGGGCTCCTCCAGGGCCCACGCCCCCTAGCCACACTGGCATGAGCTAGGCAGCCATGTGCCTGGCATTTTCTTTTTTTTTTTTTGAGTTGAAGTCTCACTTTGTCACCCAGACTGGACTGTAGTGGCCATTCCCGGCCACAGCAGCCTTGACCTGCTGGGCTCTGGCAGTCCTTCTACCTCACCCTTCCAAGTAGCTGGAACTACAGGCGCATGCTACCAAGCCCGGCTAATTTTTTTTTTTTTTTTATTGTAAAGATGAGGTCTTGCCAAGTTGCCCAGGTGGGTCTCGAACCTGCGGGCTCAGCAATCCACTCACCTCAGCCTCCCAAAGCACAGGATTATAGGCTGAGCCACCGAGCCCGGCTGCCTGGCATCTTCTAAACCGTGGTGGGTAAAGTCTGATGTGGGGCTGGCATTCATTCATTCATTCATTCATTCCATCTGAAGACATCCTAAGAGGCTATTCTGCTCCTGGTGCTGGCTGAAGCAGTGTGTAGTCACAGCCAGGCCAGCTTGCTCTCGCTCCCCCTCCCCCCCATCCCATCTCCCAACAACCACCTGGACCTGTCCCTGGTTCCAGGGAAGGCTCAAGCCCTCTGGACTGTGGTTTTGTCCCCTGGGAAGAAACAGGATCCCTTCCCCATAGGATCCTGGGATATTAGTGCGCCAAGGTTGAGGGTCTCCAGGGGCCACCTAGACTACTGGTTATAGGGCTGTGAAGTCTGAGGTCAGGGCCGAGTCCGAGTTCAGGATTGCTACTGACTCCTCTGAGCCTCAGTCTTCTCACCTGTAAAATAAAGACGACCTTCCTAGTTTTGGTGATCGGGAGAATTAGCTGAGGGAGCGTGGATAGGTTTGCTGATGGGTGCCGTGCCAGGCACTCGGCCCTCTTCAGACCACACTGATGATGATTATCCAACTCTTAGATGCAGAGGACGAGGACAAGAGAGGGTGGTGGCTGATCTGAAGTCACCCAGCTTCTAAGTGACAGGACCAGGGTCTGGTTCCAGACGCCTGGGGCCACAGACTTCCAAACCTGGCTCAGGACTTGTCAGAGCCTTGCCTGGGCAGGAGACCAGGCTCCACTTTGGGGAGCACAAGGGGCAGGGACAGGAGTCCCTGGGCACGTGAGTAGTATTAAACCGGAAGCCAGCTGTATTGCCAGAGGACTCCGACAGGCCTGCCTACCTCCTAAGAGAGACCCAGAAGCCCATTTGGCCCTGTCCCCCATGAGAAGCAGTTTTGAGGCTTGTTGCTTAACCCCTCTGGGATGCTTAGAGGTTCTGGTGGGAGCAGGGGGTGCAGGGGCCAGTTTATTCCTGGTGACTGGGAGGGAATTGGCCCCTGAGGAAACCCAAAGACACAAGAAGATGAATAGGTTGTTTCAGCTGGGAGAGCGGGTCGGCTAACCCTGGGAGGTGGGTGCCCAGGGTCAGCCTACAGGTTGGCCCAAGCAGAGGAAGAGGCCAGGCTGGAAGCAGGAGGCCTGGGCTTCAGTCCTGGCGCTGCCCCTTCCTGGCCATACAACCTTCATCCGTGGAAGAAGGCAAGGGCGTCAACTGCTGCTGGGATTCCTGCCAGATTTAGGGGGCCCCAGGGAAGCCAGGCTGCAGAGATTGCTGTCCCCATGGCCGAGAGGGAGAGGGGAGGAGCAGAGAGCCCAGTGCCCTGGCATACACAGCTGGAACCAGAGCCCACACTCCCCCACAGCCCTGAAGGCACCATGCTGCCTGAGAGCCCATAGGGCCATGGAGTCGGATGTCCCGCCCTTCACACGCTATAGGAGCTGGCCGTTCTGCTCACCTGTCAGCCTGGGCCAAGGGGGGAGGTTGGAGAGAGGCAAAAAGGCAGCATGGTGAATCCCCCTGCCTCCTCCAGGAGACAGGCGGGCCTTCCAGAGAAAGGGTGATGAGACCGGAAGCCCACCCTCAATAGTACGAGGGGACCTGGCCAAGGAGGGCACAGGAGGGTGAGTATCACAGGAGCAGCAGGCACCAGGACCCCTCCCTGGCTTGTCCCTCACTAGTCAGAACATGAGGCTCAGAGAGGGACGGGAACCTGCTGAGAGTTACACAGCAGAGTGGCAAAGGGAATGTGGACTTTGGAGTCAGACCTTGGTTCAAATCCCACCTGCACCACTGAGTCCCATTCACAGAGAGGGGTTAATCCTCTGTCTACTGGGTGTCTGGGAAGATGGAAGACAGTGTCGTAAAGTGCCCGCCTACGGGGTATGGCACCTGTTTGGGGGGAACTAATGACACTGTTATTACATGGCATCTTTATGGACAAGCAGGGAGTGGGGACTGGTCGGGTAAGGGACCGTGTGTAGGACACAAAAGGGACCCCAAAAAGCTGGAACCTCAAATGGGTTGGAGTAAAAGCCAGTCTGATCACGCCCCTGCTCTGTGGCTGGAGGCCTCAGGGCTGTGTGGGGTGGCTATGACCAGACTCAAGGCTACCACCCCATCTGCCCAGGAAAAAGAGAGTGGCCGTGCCCGGGGGCCCAGGAGACCAAGGCCACAACCTGTGTACATTGTCACAGAAAGCAAGGGAAAGGGGTCAGAAATAGACCCCTGACTGGTATCAGGAGTCCCTGGGGGAGTTCTGTCACCAGCTGGCCGAGGGGCCTTGACCTTGAGTCTTTCAGGGCCTGAAGTCAGAGTTCATGCCATACAAGGAGCGGGGCAGCACAGACCTGCTGGAGTTAAATGGTTTATTGCAGCCTGTACAGAGCCTGGGTGCACGGTCTATCACCTTTCCTGCTTCTCTCCCCAGTTTGTTGTCCTCTGGTGACACGACAGCTTGTACAGGCCTGCAAGTCACTCCCAGCTCCCATTCAAGAAGCCCCAGCTCCGGTCCCCTTCACTCTCTAGCTCTTCATTCATGTGCTCTGGAGAAAGGAAATCTGATTGGTCACCTACCAGCCAATGGGTTGGCTGCCTTTAAGTCAGGTGCCCATCCCCTTGTCCAATCAGCTGTGGTCAAAGAGCTCAACCTTGCACAAGCCAAGTTTGGGCAAAGATGGTGCAGAAAGGCAAAGGGACGCTTGCCAGTTAGCCATTTCCACATAGCAACCACCCCAAAATGTAGAGCCTTAAAACAACAGCAATTCATTTATTCCCAGTGCTAAAACATGGGCAGCGCCTGGTGAGGACTACTGTCCCTGTTGTGCGAGGTGTGGATTGGGGACACTTGACCGGCTGCAGATCTGGGGTGCTTCTGACCATGTCTGTCACCTCAGCTGGAGGGTCGGAATAGTTGGGGGATGGCTGGCGTCTCTCTTTCCATAGGATCTCTCCAGGCCTCGCTAGGCTTTATGGCACCTCAGCGGTCCAAGATGGTGAAAACAGAAGCTCCCAGGTCCCTCAAGGCCTAGGCCAGGGAATCCCACAGCATCTCAGTGGTTGCATTCTGTTGGTCTTGGATCCTCCTAGATCCAGCAGGAAGGGGCGGGGACAGACCCCAGCTCTTAAGCTGCACGGCCGGCCAAATGCATGCAGGCCATGAGAGGTGTTGGGGCTGCCTTTGGAAGTGAACTTCCCAGGGACTTCTGGGATGCCTTCTTCCTTCGAGGAAACACTTATTGGTGCACAGGACTCTGCAGTTTGCCCAGAAGTAGGAGGCTTAGAGAGTGATGGTGACAGTTCAATGGTCTACAGCTGGCCAGTAAAGAACCAGGGCTTGAACCCAAGTTTGCCACCCCCTGGGCCAATGCCTTTACCATAGCTGGTAGATGCGGGGTGGGGTGGGGGGTGGGTACTGGAAAAAGACAGCAATCCTCAGAGTAACTGCTATTTATCAAGGACTGTGCTGCACGAGGCCAGACGCACGTACATTATTCGGTCTAATCCCTCCATGAGGAGCGTCTGATGTGCGCCCTCCTGGATGAGAAGTGATTGCCTGGGCCCACCAGCGGGTGGGTGCCAGTAAGGAGGAACACCACACCGGGCGCCTCACTTGAGCCACTCCAGACTCAGGCTCCTCATCTGTGAAATGGGCACAGCCCCATCACCTCCCGCAGCCTCCTTCCTTTGTGGATGGGGTGAGTCGGTGCTGGAGAGCTATGGCATGGTGGGTGAGTGCAGGGGGTGGGGGCACAACCAGAGCTCTGCCAGTCAGCTCCCGGCTCCTGGCTCCCCGTCCATCTGGCTTCCCTGTGGGACCTGGGACCAGGGCACTATCCACACGTCCAGCAGACATGATGCATGTGGGCCCTGTTTTGAGGGAATAGCAATCTGGCCCTGGTCCCCACAGGGGACCACCGGGCAGGGGCAGGGGTCTGAGAACAGCGGCCATGAAGGGCCTCCCTTAGGCGGACAGACCCTTCCCGGGGAGCTGGAGCCCTTGACTGCCTGAGCGAGCTGATTGCTCAGCCCATAAAGGGATTTATAGCCTCCCCATAAACCTATTACGGCTCATCCTGCGTCCCCAACCCAGGCCCTGTCATGGTGCCAGGTGACAGAGCTGGTGTCTGAGAAGGCTGGCATGGGGCCCTTGGGAGCTGTGGAGACTGCTCAGCCCCAGCCCCTTCCTGCCCCAGGCTTCATGCCAAGCCCAGAGGTCTGTCCATGGCCTGCATGGGACCCAGCAGGGACCAGGGCCTGGCTCTCCCTGGACCTGCACCGGCTCCACCCCCTCACTCCCAGTCTGGCCCATG